CCTTGTGGGAAGCTATGAATTTGGATGGGCCAATGGAGTCAGAGAGGCCAGTTTCCAGGATAAAACCACCCCTAATCCAGCCTGGACTCTCTGGAAGGACCAGCTACATAATCTGTGGGACAAGTGCAAAATGAAAAGGCAGGGCTCCTTCTTAAAAAGTATTAAAAACTTCAAGAGTGACTGAAAAGCATTAAACCAAGTGTGGGTCTTCTAAACGTGAAGTCACCCTGTTCCCCGGACTGACAGGGAGACCACCATCTGTCCACCCAGCCATCCATCCACCAGTCCATTTGTTCATCTGCCGTGTATTTATTCACCCATTCACCGCTTCACTATAGATCCCACAGACAGGCCCCAGCTGGGAGCTGATAAGGACAGGTATGATAGTAGTCACAGCCCACTGGGTCAGACTTGAACTTTTACCTTCCAGCCCAGTGCCCTGGATTAGGAGGGGCCAAGGCTTCTCCGGCATGTTTATAAAGCTGAGCCCTGACCCCCATGCCCCATTCCCACTTAGGCCTAGCCTCAGAAGTGGAGAAGCTGGTGGGGTCACAACTCTTGGGGTTCCACTTTCCAGGAAATGAAAGTATCCAGAGCAGCTGCAAGAATGTGGTAAAACAGCCACAAGGAGCCCAGATGGGGCTGCCCTCAAGGAGGGTCTCTGAGAAACTCCCTTGCCCTCTCTACTCTTTACATAAGAGGAAACATGGCCAGAATGGAGAAGTGATATGCCCAAAGATTCAGTGGCAGGAAACTACCCAGGGTGGGGTGGGTCCCCATCCTTCATAAAAATGTTTTCTTTGCTCCTCTCCAGCTCAAATCCGCTCCTAGCTTCACCCCAGCAAGTCTGAGGTTGAGCCTGGGGTGACAGAGGTGGAGCTGGGCCTTCCAGGTCTTTAAGCACTGGTGAAGATGCAGCCTACAGGGCAATCAGAGGAAAGCTCAGATCCCAGGCTCCACACCATCACCCACGATCTGCACAGCCTTCAGTGCCTCCCTCCCCACTCTGGACCTCAGGCTCCCACCCATAAAAGAGGGAAGTCAAATCAGGTGACCCCAAAACCCCTTTTCATCTTGGACATTTGGGAAACTTCCTGACCTGCCGGTCCTCTCAAGGGACAGCCCTTTCCAACATGGGGTGGAGAAGCTGGCGTCTCTGGCAGATGAAAGGCTCGGGTACTCAAGATATCAAACAGCCCTTCTGTGAAGCAGGTGCAAGAGTATTAATGCAATTAGAGCAGCACACTTTGATTTCCAGCCTCCTGCAGTATGCTGAAGTGGGCTGCCCTGAAAAGCATTTTGGGAGAGGGGGGCTGGGGCCTGAGTTGAGGGACTCAGGTAGCTCTTTTCCTGAAGGCATGGGAGGGCAGGAGGTGGGCTTCCACACTGGACTCAAGTGTGTGGACTCCATTTCCACACCCCAGAGGTGAGTCTCTGTGTCCTTTTCTTCCTCGCCTCTAGACCCCTCACTGATTTGGGCAAAAGCTTTGCTTCCTCTTAAAGTCAAACCCTAGGGGGTTTGAAAGTTCAGTGCTGGAAAGACCTAAAGACTGTCTCCCACCCTAATAGGCCCTCCTGCCTCTCAGTATCCAGGGACGTGGCTTTCTAAGCCCTGCAGGAACATGCCCTCAGAGCTCTCTGAGGAAGGGCCCCTCTAATGGTTAAAAAGCTCCTCCTTGTTATTGCAGGTTCAAGTTTTCCATTAGCAGTCATTGATCCTGACCTCTTTCTGTAATGTGTAGAGAAAATGTAAGAAAAACTCCTTTCATTGTGAAGTTAAATATGCATGATCCCTGCCTGAGTACACAGCAGGCCTGTGCGGCTGCCAATCTGGGCTGCCAATCTGGACTGATGGGGCTTAGAATCCTGGAACTGTTTAGAGCTGGAAGGGCCTGTGCAATCATCAGGGTTGACCTCTTTGTTTGACGGATTGATGAGAGGATGAGGCCCAGAGAGGGACCAGCTTGCCCACAGCCACATGGCTTTCTAGGGTTCCACACCCTATGTGGAATGCCAAAGGGTCCCAGAGCTGAGGCAAGTCCTCAGAGTGCACCTGGGTCCCCAGGCCCCACCCAGCCTTGCATCACAGGGCTCTGGAGTCAGAAACACTTAGAGATAAATCCCAGGTCCTCCACTTCCTAGCTGTGGGACTCTACATAACTGACTTTCCGTCTGTGAGCATTTCTTCATCAGTAAAGTCTGTACCTACACTTCAAGGTTGTTGCAATGTTTAAATTAATCCAGCAAACATTTATGAAGAACTTCTTGAATGCCAAGTATATTCTAAGTGCTGAGGACTACATCAGTAAACTACAAGGTAATGGACAAACACAATTAAAATGCACATAGAAAGGGCTGGTTCCCATTAGATTATCCTGCCTACACTCCTGTGGCTCAGGTGCCACAGCTCTGACCTTGGGGAGGGGCCACCCCCACTTCCAGAGTCTGTGAACAAAGCCCTGTTCCCAAGACCCACTGTCACAGGGTTCTGAATCATCTGCAAAACAGAGGTGGGCATTTCAGGGATATCTAGGGACCCTCTTGTTCCTTCCCCCTCCTCACCACACTCTGCACCCTGTCCAGAGCAAAGTGCCTAGAGTCCCTTCTCGCAGCCTGAAGACAGCTGGTCACAGGGCCAGACTGTGAACTCTGCCTGAGGATGAAGTGGGACTTCAGAATGTCCACAGTGTCCACATTCCTTCTTTGCAGAGGCCTTTGTGGGTTGCTGCAGCCAAGTGGTTACATGCAAGAGGCAGGGAGCAGCACCCTCTCTTCCCAGTGGCCCCAGGTCCAATGCTGAAGTGCAGGGACTGTACTAAGAACCTTTCCTATGCTGTTACCCAATGGAGACTAAATGGTGCTCTGCTGCTCACAGAGGAGACTGAAGCTCAGAGAGGCAAAACACTGGCCCAGGGGCACATGGTCAGCCAGAAGCTGAATCAGAGGTGAATCCACAGTCATCTGATGCCCAAGCCTGGTGGTGCTTATCCAACAGTACCCACTACTCCCAGATGTAGAAGTAGCCCCAAGAACCAATACCCCTGTCTGAGGTTAGCTACACAGTGGATTTGAATAGAGCCAGGGGAATCACTGGGTCTGCTGACCCTGAAGTCACAGTGCTTTCCACTGGCTGCCCCACATCTGTGGACAATTACAAGCCCTCACTCTTCTTCCCAGAGGAGGGAGGCTGTCTGATAACTACTGTCTGAAAGGAAGGTGCTGACCAGATGGCCTCTTTCTTCCCTCAGGACCATGCCAGGCCGGGTGGACCTTACAGCAGTCAGACTTGGGACTGCACTTTGAGCTGGGGAAGGTACTGGAACCAGAAGCAGGCTCTGGGGGAGGATGGAATCTCCCTGCTGCTAACCAGGGGCAGCTCTCTGGGTATCCAGGATTCCAGCTTTGGATTCAGGCAGACTTCCACCTAAATACCAGCTCTAGTTCTACTGTGTGACCTGGAAATTCACTTACCCTCTACATACCTGGGGCTCTTCACCTGTAAAACGGGACAATAACAAGACCGATTTCAATGCCTTGCTGGTGTCATACCAAACTCTGCCTGTGTGTAGCTGGTGCTCGGTGACGGTGACTACCCTGACTGTGCCCCCCAATGCTGTGGATTCAGGGCTCCCTGTCTGGAGACAGGAAAGGGTTGCATAAGGTCAGGACATCTTGTTAGAGGCCTCTGTGCATTCTGAGGGTCACAGAGACCCCTTGTCCCTGCTTTCCACAGAAAAATGCTACCTAATATTCTGGAAGCAAGGCAGGAGTCCCTCTTCCCTGCCACCAGGGGAACCAAGGCCGGGTATTAGGAACAGAACACAAAACAACAAAACTCAGAGCCGAAAAAATCTCTGCCATGCACACAGAACAGGAACAGGAGAGGGTCGCCAGCCCTCAGCAAGGCTAGTTCGAGGTGCAGGGTCATCACCGGGAAGATGGGAGGAACCTGGGAAGGCTACCTGGAAGAGATGGAGTAGCAGGGCCCCCCCTCCCAAAGAAAAGTGATGAGGAAGCGCATTCCAGGCAGGGAGAATGGGGAGGGCAAATGCCCACGGGCAGGATGGTGCAAATTCCTTCTGAAAATCCTGGGACAAATTTAGGAACAAAAAGCCCAGGTCTGGAGCAGTGGGGTAGTGGAAGCTTGTATCCTCTCCAAGCTTTGCCACTTACTAGCTATGGGGCTGCAATCCCGTGGCTGTGGGAGCATCGTAGGAGACACTTTCATGTGCACAGTGAGCACTGTGGGAGATACTCTGAATACTTGGCCACCCAGCATGCAGTGAGATGCTGTGATCAGACTTTCGTTTTAGGATGGAGTGGAGAAGCAGTGGAGCCCAGAAGTAGGGACAGAGTAAGGAGGCCTGAGCAGTCGCCTGGGACAGAAGGAAATGGCCCAGTTGCAACTTTCCTCACAGAGGAGCCCCCAGGCCGGGACTGCTGGATCCCAGGCCTCCAGCCCCAGCTGCAGGACTGCTAGGCCCTGGCTGCAGCCCCCTTCATGCAAACTTTCCCAGCGGCTGGGGTTTTGGAAGGACATCTTAGGAATCTGGAAAATTTGCAAATCCATTTAAATCCCCAAAGGTTGCCTGGCAGCTGACTGGCCTAAAGCCAGACTGATTGTTAGGAACAAAGTCCCCTTCCCCTGATGGGTCCTTTTCTATATGCCCTGTAGCCATCTCTCAGTTTCCCTCTCTGGCCTCTCCCAGCTTTCCCCACCCCCACAGGCCCCAATGCACACCCCAAAGTCTCTAGGCATTGTTTGAATAGAGTAGGGGGTAGTGGGACCTTGGGGTAGCAGGGTTGAGGGTGCAGCAGTCATTCACCCCAGGGAGAAGACTGGCTCCTCCGGCCCTGACATCACTGGAAGCCAACCAGTCACCTCCCATCTGGTTTTGTTAAAAATACTTTCCTTTTTTTTTTTTTAACTACCTGAAGAGTCACAGGCTGGGGCAGGAGGACAGGGCACGGGCTGGGGATCCCCCTCTCTCTGCACTTACCTTGTTGCTGATGGATTCTGATGTGGACACGGTCCCAGGTTGTGGGCTGTCACCCCCTCCAGGAAGTCCTCCTTCCTGCCCTTTCCTCCTTATCAGAAAGACTGCTGGGCCCAGCACAGGCAACAGCTGGGCAGAAGGGCAGGCAGGACTGTCCCAGGCTCCCAGAGACTCAGGAGGACCAGAGGCTGCTGCACGGGGAGCAGTGGCCAGCCTCGCCTCACTCCCAAAGCATCCTTTGGGAGGAGCAGAGTTGCCAGGAGGGGCTGGCCCGGGCCTGGCTCTGTGCTGGCCAGCCCAGCAGACAGTGCGGGTCTGAGGGGCCAGGTCTCTCCTCGGTGATCTCCTCCTGTCTGACTCCAAGTTGCTTACAGAGTGATCCCAGGTCCCAGATAGGGCGTGCAGGGACTGCGAGCCGGCGCAGGCAGCCCCCAGCTCTCTGCTGTGGGCTCCCCTGCCCCTCCCTTTGGGGGAAAGGCTGCAGGGCGGCCTCTGATTGGCCCAGAAGGGAGAAGGGGGGCAGTGGGGCAGGGAGGGTGGACGTGTGCGTCTGTTTTCAATTTCAGGGTTTCCCCCCCTCTTTCTTTTCCCCCAAGTTTCTTGTTTTTCTTCCCTTTTTCCTTCTGCTCCCTCCCTCCCATTGCCTGTTCTCTCAGGATGTGAGGAGATGTTTAGAAATTCCGCAACCCACGCCAGCCACTGAGTCACTTCTATTGAAGAGTGACCCAGCTTCCCTTGCTTGGTGCCTGCTTCTGGGTGCATCTCCCCTGGCCAGGGCACCAGGTGCATGGCGGGGCGGGGGCGGGGGGGGCACACGAGGGTCCTTCCTTTGTGCCTCAATTTCTCCATTTTTAAAGAAGCTCTCTCCTCAGATCTGTGGTTGATTCAGCCAGCATTCACTCATTAAACAAGAATGTTAAGCACCTACTGTGTGCAGACACTGCACTAGTGCCAGGCACACAGTAGAGGGACACTGTCCAGTGAAGAGGCATCTGCTGGGCAAGCAGGCCCCATCAGGAGGGCAGGGACCTGAGGGACTCAGGAATACCGACCTGGGGCTTGAGGAGGCAGCGGGCACCTCTACAGCAGGGGCTGAGTTAGAGGCTGCTTTCACTGAAAGCTCTGCTGCCCTCCTTGGACCTGGAGCTGTCTTCTTTGTTACCTCAATCTTTGCATCAGATTTCTACTCAACTCTACATAAACATCAGGGCAATTTAAATATTGGTCATGCCTAAATTTACCTAACCTCTCTTATCCCCCTTAAAAGCCAAAGCCACCAAGGTAAGAATAGCTGTTCTCAAGAGTCCAGGCAGAGATCTAGACAGCCAGATCTAGACAACCAGACTGAGTAGGAGCAAGATGCCTTGACTATGCTTACCTCTTGTATCCTGCCCTAGTTCTTCTGTAAGATCCTGAAACTTTCGTTAGCACCCCAGGGACTCTAGAGCCCCTGTTTCTTCCCAGTATGACCACACTGAATAATAAAATGTTTTCAATTTATTTATGATTCTGGGGATAGAACCCACAGTCCCTCTCAGGCTAGGCAAGCTCTCTACCACTGAGCGACACCACCAGTCCAGTGAATGCCTTTCTTACTTCATCACTCTTGTTGCTATCTGGACTCTTGAGGTTATGGGCGGCTAAGCCTGGTCTGGTTCGACTCCCCCAGGTCAGGTCCCCGGCCTAGGACTCTGGTGACACCTCTGAGAAGAGGTGACTTGGAAGAAAGGGAAAGACCCTTTGTGATGATCACTCTTCAGAAGGGGAAACCAAGGTCTAGAGGCACATTGGCACAGAGAGGGAAAGCAGCTTGCCTAAGGACACCTGGCATACATCCTCAAATTTCCAGACCCACTCCTCTTAGCATCTCAAAGTCCTTGGGGTACCAAGAAGAGACTATTTGTGCTGTTATAGAGCAAAGAAACTGAGGCTCAGAGCAGGACAGTGAGCTTCTCAGGCCCATGCAGCAACAACAGAAATGGGGCAGAACCGGATTTCATGTGTCACATGATAGAAGGGATTCGGGTCACCTTTATCCCCACCCAAGACCTACGCTCCAGTGTAAACTACCTATCCTGCCTTCTTCCTAGGTTACCTTGTGGCTCTTTCATTCAGTCATTCAACAAGATATTTTCAAGTATCTGTAATGGTCCAGTTCCGTCCTCTCCTACTTTTGCCCCCCAGGGCTATGATGCCTTTTTCAGGGCCCCCCGTGGGCTCTTCTCTTCCACTCTCACCTTCTCAGACCAAGAGATGTCTGGTCACAGGCTCCTAGCCCCCAGAAGCCAGGGAGCATTGTCTTAAATGGCCCCTTTAAAAGGTCTCCCCTTTGAAGCTCTTGGATGGGTCCCTAGTCTTGCCTGAGATGCCCTTTTCCCATCTGACTATAACAGAAAATTGAGCTGAGCCTCATGAGGAAGCTGAGTTCCTAGAGGGAAGAAATGTGTCCCAGCCTATAAAGGTAGAGCCTAGCTCCTTTCACCCTGCCTTCTGCACTTGTGTCGCCCTGTTCCGCCTCAGGTCCCCAGGGCCCCTGTCCATGGATCGGGAGAGTGGCTGGGATTGAGATTCCATGCCAACCACAGTAATTTATCTCAGTCATTTTTTTGGTCTTCTGCTTGTAGGACTTGTCTAGCAGAGAGTCTGGGGCTGGACCACATGGAGGAAGAGTTCCCTGGCTGGCCCAAGCCATGGGTTGGGTAATGAGTCTTCCTGGAGAGGGGACCTGGGCCAGGGCTTGGTGGCAGCAGGACCATAAGGGAACATGGGTGGTGCCACAGACCACAGAGTCAGGCCTGCCCAAGGTTTCTTGTGCCCAAAGCCTAAATCAAAAGATTCCAACTCCCTGGTTTCAAGCTCCAAAACTGAAAAGGAGAGAGGGAGAGAAGAAGGGAGGGAGAGAAGGAGAGAAACAGAGAGAGAGAGAGAGAGAGAGAGAGAGAGAGAGAGAGAGAGAAAGAAATTCCCCCTCCCTAACATTTGTCTCAGCCAGTCACCTTGGACAAACTGCTGTGGCCAGGACATCTCTGGGAAGCAGAGTTTCAACCCCCAAAGTAGCTCTTCTAGGAGTGAGGACACCTAGCTGTGGGTTTGTTGGGAGGCCTCAGGTGAGTCCCTTGTCCTGCCCCAGCCTCATTTTCCCCATATGTCCCTGTGAGGCTGGGCTGACTATGTTGGAAGGTCCTTGGGATGTTCTGACTGCGATTTCCCTTACAGCTAGACTTTGGCTAAGGAGAAGAGATTGTCGAGTCCTAGGGCAGGGGCACAGCTGGGGGCCAGAGATGCAGCTTGCACAGAGGGGAGAGGGTGGTTGGTGGCAGCTCCCCGGGGATGGTTGGCGGCTTCTGGTTTCCGGCCAGCCCAGCCGTCCGGCTGGCCCATCTGGAATCACTTAGCCCCCACCACCATTAACCCTTGATGGGCAGTAGGGCCGTTTCTCCTCTCAAAGGAGATGTGGGTGGGAGATTTGGCACTACACCAAGAGCCAGGGGTATTTTCCAAGGCCGGGACAGCTGAGGGGGAAATGTGCTTGAGCAAGTTCCAGAGCGAGAGGCAATGCTCAGGGTCAGATCCCAGCTTCTCCAGCTTCAAGCTGTATGCTCTTGGACAAGTCACTTAAACGCTCCAGCTTGTTTCCTCCTCTGGAAAAAGTTGACTCAATGGCTGAGTCACGAGACCAAGATTCATACCTAGGCATTCCAGCACTGCGGACCTCCAGACCTCAGTTTTCCCATGTGCACTCTGAAAGGGTGAGCAGTGGACAGGTCACAAGGAAGGCACAGCACTGTCATGCTGGGCCCCCTGTGACAGGATAAGCCACAAGCATCCTCTTACCTGCCCAGGTTCAGGAGCTGAGTCTGGCCACAGGCACCCCAATCTTGGGGAGGGCTGGGCTGAGTCGGGGCAGAGCATGGAGGGTGAGAATCTGCCTGTGACAGATGCAATGGTGTGCAAGGAGCCCTGGACTTGGGGCCTAGCCTCCCCTCCCTGCGCCATGGTGGCACCCTCAAGGGTTAAGCACCTGAGCTCTGATGCTGGCTATCCCATCCCAGCTCTGCACCTCCCAGCTGTGTGGCCCTGGACAGTCAGGCTCTGAACTCTCTGAGCTGTGTTTTCAACTACAACTACCCCAGAGGGTTTCCGAAAGGCCTGAGTGACAATGAACACAGGCATTTTGTGCAAGCCGTAGGGCAGACCAAGAAAGGCAATGATCCTCAGATGTTGCCCGGAGCTGCAGTCACAGAAGTCTGAGGTCAGGCTGGAGGAAAGTGCATCCAGCCCGCTCACTTTACAGCCTATGTGACCACGGTCAGTGATGGAAGTGACTTGCGCAAAGCACTGTGCGTGTGCAGCATCAGCCACAGATGGGGACTACAACCGAAGCTTCTGTCTAGGCTCTTAGCTGTGTTCTTCCTGCAGGAGGGAACCAGGCTGAGTGAACCCCCTCCTAAGACCCTACCCACGCTTACCTACCCCGGAAACTGTGGCTCTCAGGCGGTGGGGATCAGGGCCGGAAAGGCAGCCCCAGTGGGAGAATTCCCAGTAGGCTGGCTCAACACTCACCAGGCAGGGCCAGTGGTCAACACATCTGGCTCTCCCATGCTCTCAAAGCTGACCCCTCTCTGGGCTCCCTGGGCGGGGGGAGTGGCAGGGGGAGCACCACACGTGTCCCAGGCATTGGCGCATTGGATGTTAGAGCCAGAAAGGCCCTAAAGGTTGTCCATTGTACAAGTACAGAGCCTGAGGCCTAGTGAAGGGAGGCAGCCTACTGAGGTTCACAGAGGAGGTCCTGCAGCACACATCCCCTGGCCCCTAGCTCAGCGTCCTTCCATTTCTCCACTCTGAGCAGAGTAGGTAGATCCTGTGCCTGCAGCTGGGGACCAGAGAGGGACAGAGTGGGAATTTCCCCCACCTCCTGGATGCCCAGCATTGTGACCATCTGAGTGGGCAGAGGGGCCAGTGGGGGCCTGGGGCCACATTCTCCCCCCAGAATTCCTGGGATTGCTCTCACTGGGCCAGGCTGCAGCCACTGAGCCTTGCTGGGCTTCTGGATTCGCCCACTCCTCACCCAACCCCTCTGCTGACCTCTATCTTGGTCCCACGGTGCCTTCTGGAGCACATAGATGGCTCAAAGATCAGCACAACAGCAGAGCCCTTGGAGGCCACATATTTTTCCCTCACTGGACATACTGGCGCCTACAGTCCAGAGAGAGAAAGAACCTGCTTGAGAGCACACAGCAGGACTCAGGATGGGGCCTTTCACAATAACTTCCAGACTTTCCTGTTTCTCTCACTACTCATCCATGCAACAGCAGTTAACTGAGCACCTACTATGCATCCTACCCTCCTATCCCTATACAGGTCACAAACAAACACAAAGGAAAGCACAAATTAATAATATCAAAGAGTGATAACTATGATAAGAAGAGATATAGAGACTGATGAGCTGAGTAGATAGGAATTTTGCTCAGGGAAGCATAGGTTTCTCTAGGGAAGAAGCACTTCAGAAAAGACCAAAGGATGAGAGGCCACACACAGACCAGGAGTAAGAACAGTGTTTGAGGCAGAAGGAACCTGCAAAAGCATGGAGGCTGGAAAGAGCTCAGTGTGTTTGAACATAGAGAAAAGAATGGTTGCAGCCTGTGTAGTGACACCTATCTATAATTCCAGCTACTCAGGACGCTGCAGCAGGAGGATTGCAAGTTCAAGGCCAGCCCGGGGCCACTTGGCAATTCAGTGAAACCCTGTTTTAAAATTGTTAAAAGGCTGAAGTTGTAGCTCAGTTGTAGAGCATTCACAGCATCAGACCCTGAGCTTAATCTCCAGTAACAACAACAAAAGATTAAGGTGGAGAGGTATATAAAGTTGGAGAGGTAGGTGGGGCCGGCCATCCAATCTTCGGGTCCAAGAGTCCTGCTCTTATCCTGAGAGCCAGCAGAGCCACTGCAAGGTTTTCAGCAGGATTGGGAGGGGCCTATAGTGCACTGTGGGCAATGGGCTGAGGGGCAGTGTGGGGCAGGATGGTGGTGTGCAGGTGGTCGTGGACAACTGTGAACGAAAAGTCACTGCACCCTGTCCTCACCTTTTGTCCACCTCGAGGCTGCAGGGGTGCATCCGGCCAAGGAGTTGGTACAGTGGGTTCCAGCCCATGCTTTGACTGCTGACTACTCTGTGAACCCGCTTCCTTCCCTGGTTTCAGCATCTCTGAAGAACGGGTCAGACTTGGTGCTTCTTCTGATGAGGACATTCTGTTCCTGAGTCCAGGTTCTAGCCTGCTCTCTGCTCCCTATGTGTCTGACTACTGGGGGACTACCTCCATTCCCCAGGAGGAGCATCCTGACTTCCGCAGGAGACACCACCGGACAAGAAAGGCAGAGTTCTCCTGTAGTTCCCAGAAGTGTCAGCAGGTGGCGCGCCCAGCCACTGGAGGGGGCGGAGGAAAAGAGGAAAGGTGTTGGAAAGGTGTTGGGAGGAGGGCGGGTCTGGAGCACAAATTCCTGGCAGGAGCCCAGCATCCATTTTGAGGCCCACAGCTCCCCGATGGAGGAGGGCAGGGGAGGAATCACCATCCCCCCGGAGAGAGGAGTTAACCTTCCCAAGGTCACACAGCGAGATCGAGGCGTGGCTGGACCTGCCCGCACCCCAAAGCCCCAGGACTACAGCCTAGAGAGAGCTTCGGGAGGCTCTGGCCCTGCTGCCCGCCACTTCTATGAAGCAAACTCTTTCCCGTAGGAAGCTAAGCACAGAAACTTTTCCCTCCCAGGACCATAAGCCCAATTTTAAAACTCCGTTATCACTACGATCTTTATGAGGCCATCACAGGTGCGCCCCGCCCCAAGAGGCCCTGGCCGGAGTGTGAGAGCAGCTCGGGAGGGAGGGCTTCCAGGGGGAGAGGCGCCCACCGCACCCCTGGAGCCAGAGGAAGGAGGGGCCCAGTAAACAACCACGCCCAGAGATAAGGGGCGGTCAGGGAGGAAGAGCCGCGGGCAGGGACGAGGACAGGGGCTTCTCCATGCAGCACAGCGCCATGACCACACCACCATTAGAGGCAACTGTCCCCAGCGGGCACATGGAGAAACCGAGGCCCAGGGGTCCAAGACATACGGTAGTCAGAGGCCACGCTTGGTAAGGACTTGCAGTTTCAGACTGGGGCTGTTAAGGCTACAGGGTCTCCCATGGTGGGGTCTCCACAGGGGCGAAGGCAAGGGGAGAGCAGGGGCTCTTTTGCATGAGGAACCCAGAGGAGGAAGAGGAACCAGTTATTTGTTTAAGCAAAATCCAGTTAACATGTGCAGAAGTAGGAAGGCATACGCAGGGTCACTATCCTCACTGTCCTGATATGCCAGCCAGCTCAGCTACAGAACCAAGAGAAAAACTTCCAAGTAGGAGCCATTGAGTTGCTCTGTGGCCTCAGGCAAGTGGCTTCACCTTCTCTGAGCTCTGGCTTCCTCCTCTGCAAAAGAGGGAAAACTATCAACCCCATCTCCCTGGGCTGTACTGAGGATGGACAGAAGTAACAGACACAGAGGGACCAGCCATGATATATGAACAGCAGCACCATTGTGATTACACTTGCATAAAGGGTCGGGCCAATCTGCTGCCTGAGAGAGATGCCATGCAAGGGCACTGTGCTCAGTCAGAAGGTCTGAGGTGGGGAGGTCTGCAGGAATGGTGGCAGCTGCCCCACCCCAAGATGTGTCTGCAGAGAGGGAGGGACGTGCATCTGGGTAGGCACAATACTGAGAGGGCTCCCCGGGCTCTACTCTCTCTCCTGCCCTGCCTCTGACCCACAAGCCTTCTCTTCCTCTCCAGACTCCCTGCTCCTGGCCCTGCCAAGATGGACCTGTACCTTTCCTGTGATGCCTCCATTCCTCCCTGCCCTTCCACACGGCCACACCACCACCCTCAGCCCCAGGGAGCAGGCCCTCACTCAGCACCCAGCACAGGACCAGCACAGGAGGAGGTGTCAATGGATAAATGCACAAACAAATGACAGGCTCTGCCGATTCCCACCCCTTGGCCTACCCTCTCAGTCAGATTTAGCATCCTCTTGAAGTGCTTCTCTCCCTGGAGCAGCATCCCTACCTGGGGACCAGAGCAGTGACTCACAGGTCAGCGAGTGCTGAGCTCGCTCCCTGAAAGCCCATTTCAAGATGGACAGACGGCCCCTCAGAGAGCCCTGATGAGGTACGGGCAGGCCGGAACCAGCGCCACGGCTCCCTCTCGGCTCCCTGGTCTAGTGCCCCCTCCCCAGTAGAGCCCCCACTCCAAGCCTCCGCGTCCTCCAGTCTGAGGGTCCTAGTTACTAGCTCAGACGGTGGAGTTCGGTCCTCTGGGGCCTCCTCTCTTCTCTGTGTACCGCCAGTTTCTCTTGAAAGGTTGGTTCCTGAGTGGAGCCCAGAGAGCTCCAGATCTCTTCTGAGAACAATTTCTCAAGAATATGTTCCCTTCCTGACCTGGGGCCTGCCCTGTTTCAGCAGCTTTTTTTTTTGGTACCGGAGATCAAACTCGGGACCTTGCGCTTGCAAGGCAGGCAGCGGCACCGCTGAGCTAAATCCCGGGCCCCTCAGCAGCTTTTTTTTTTTTCATTGCTGAGGATTGAACCCAGGACTTCCCACATGCTAGTCAAGTTGTCTGCACTAAGTTTCATCCCCAGCCCTTGTTACTTGTTTATTCGTTTTGAGCCAGGATCTGGCTAAGGTGCTCAAGCTGTCCTGAAAGTTGTGATCTTTCTGCCTCAGCCTCCTGAGAAGCTGGGACTGCAGGCATGTGCTACCTCACTGGCTAGCCACGTGCTCATTTGTGGCCTGTGCTCAGGCAGGTCAGCACCAAACCAGGCATCCCACACAGGAGGCAGTTAAAACAAGGAGGCCCTAGCTACAATAAGTGCATCAGGGCTTTTGGATCACACAAGCCAACTACTGAAAAGATGTCTTTGAATCAAAGGGAGGATTTTGAATAAAAACAGTGTGTTAGATAATACCCAAGAATTTGTGTTCATTTTGTTAGATGTGACAATGACATATTATGTAAGAAAATGTCCGTGTTTTAGAGATGCATGCTGAAGTATGTAGGGGTAAAATGACATGTCTGGAATTTGTTTTAAAATACTTTAGGAAAGAGGGAGGAAGATAAAATAAGCATGACAAAATCTTGGTAACTGTTGAAGCTAGGTGATGGGTACCTATTGGTTCATTATGCAATTCTACTTTTGTGTACGTTTGAAACTTCTCAATAATCATAATAAAAGAATAGAATCATCAAAAGAGTTTGTGGAAAGTTTCCCAGGATGTTCCCAGAAGACCTTCCCCCTTCCTTCTGCCCCACACCTTTGAGAAATTTCTCTGGAGCCCAACCAAGTGAAGCCCCCATAGTATTCAGGCTCATATATGTGCATATGTGCATTTTCCGGGAGAAACATCCATCGCTTTCATCGCAGACTAGAGGGGTCGTGACCTTTCTCCCTCCACCTCGAAAGAGTACCCTACCTTACAGACACGACCCGTTTGAAGTCAGCATTGCCCCTCACCTCGATCCAGTGGGCTCCAAACTGGGTGTGGCTGTGCGGCCTGGCTTCCCCTGCTTCTCCACCTGTAGGCTGGGGTCGTGGGGCTGTGCCCACTGCGACAGGAAGCGTGAGGCGCTCGGGCCGCCGGGGCCACCGAGGAGCAGGCGGTTCCCACGCGTGGCGGTGCCTTGACCCCTCGCAGAACGAGCCCTCCACGCCCCCAACCCCCTCGGAGCCCCGGACAGTCCACCTCCCGCTTGGGGAGGCAATTTGTCTCCTTTTGAACCCTTAGCCCCCGACGGGTTTCCCCCTTTGATTCGCAGGCCGGAGGCTTCCCCCCCGCTTTGAAATGCAAACCCGCCCCGGCTGGGGCCGCGGGCGGCCCGGAGCTATAAAAGGCCTGGGTGGGGCGGGCGCGGCGGCGGGCGGCGAGGCCAGGTGAGCGGATTTGGTCGTCGGGGCGCCGGCCGCGGCGCTCCAGGGCCCAGCATGCGCGGGGGGCCCCGCGGCCACCATGTACGTGGGCTATGTGCTGGACAAGGACTCCCCCGTGTACCCCGGCCCGGCCAGGCCCGGGAGTCTCGGCCTGGGCCCACAAGCCTATCCCCACCCGGGCCCGGCCCCTGCTCCCCCGCAGTACCCCGACTTCACAGGCTACACTCACGTGGAGCCGGGCCCCGCGCCCCCTGCGGGCTGGGGAGTGCCCTTCCCAGCGCCCAAGGACGACTGGGCCGCCTATGGCCCCGGGCCTGCGGCCCCAGCAGCCAGCCCAGCCCCGCTGGCCTTCGGGCCCCCTCCGGACTTTAGCACGGTGCCCGCGCCCCCAGGGCCGGGCCCCGGCCTCCTGGCACAGCCCCTCGGGGGCCCAGGCGCACCGTCCTCGCCAGGAGCGCAGAGGCGGACGCCCTACGAGTGGATGCGGCGCAGCGTGGCGGCCGGAGGCGCCGGTGGCAGCGGTAAGGACTCTTCCCTAGCCATGCGCCTCCGGACGGGCTCCCTGGCACTGGCAGGTGCTTGGCAAGGCCCAGGCTGTCCCCTGTTTGACCTCTGACCACTCTCACCCAGCAGAGCTGTTTTCTTCCCGCTGTCTGAATCTCAGCCTGCTGGAGCCTTGAGTGGCCCATCTAACCCTCTTTCGGTGTAGATAGGGAAACTGAGACCCCTGTGGAGTTAGGAAATGTGTCGGGATTTCGCCAAGGCCTGATATAGACAGTCAGATCCTAGAGCTTATGCCCGGACTGTTTAGCACCTGGCCCTGGTAGTCTTCGTGGCTTCTACCACTCTATCCCGGGCCCAACTGGGGTGGCAGGCTCCCTCCAGGAGGAGTGATCAAGACTGAACATGGGCCGGTCACTTTCCTTTCCAGGCCTTAGCGCCCCATCTTACAGTGAAGAGTTCCCTTAGAATCCTTTGGGCTGACAAAGACCCCCCCCTTTGGCTCCACTGGGCAGGGGGATCCCTACCTAGCCTCCTAGGGCCCTCCCTGAACTCTTGACCCTGGGGGAGGGGAAGCAGGAGCAGTTGGGAAGGTGGCTACTGTTTGGCTCCTGAGCCTGTGAACCTCCTGCCCCCAGGCAGGCCTCTCTGATCCACTCTCTTCAAAGGAAGGGGATGGGACAGGACAAAGGCCCTGCTTTAATGAGGGGCGGCCTGACCTTTATGGCTCCCCCCTTTTGTCATGTAACAGGCTGTGCCTTGGCTCAGTAGTGACTCCTGTTGGCCGGAAAGTGAACATGACACCCCATTGTCCAGATTGTGTCCTGGCCTGTCCTGACAAAGGCCACCTGGCTGTGGGGGCGGGAAGCTGGCCTGCCCACTCTTTGATGTCCAGCCCCTCCTTCTCTTCCCCCAGCTGGGAGCAAGCCTGGGACTTCCCACACCTCCTCTCTTTCACCCTCAACACACACACATACACACACACACTCACTCACTCACTCACACACTGGCTGCCTCCCTGGGCAGATGCTGGGGTGGGCTTGCTCAGGAGCTGCAGGCTTCACTTCTTGGGTGTCCCAGGGAGACAGCAGCTCTCTCTGTTTTCAGGCAGATGCTGGCAACCAGGTTCGGCCACTCACTTCTGTGGCCTTGGTTAGGTAATGACAGTTAACATTACAGAACATCTAACTCTTAAAACATTGCTTTCAGTACTGTTATCACCCCTGTTCTGAAGATAAAGAAACTATGGTTAGATACTTGCCCAAGGTCATATAACCAATAACTGGTGGGGCTGGGATTTGAACGCAGGCAGACTGAGCACCATGCCTGTGCTTTAATCCTCTACACAATTGCTTTTCTGAAATAAGTCAGCTTTTCTGGGTCCCAGTTTCATTGTCTGTGAAATGAGTGGGGAAGAAGGTTGTGCAGTGTTTGTGCCCTGCTCTGAGTTATGAAAAGACTCCTTTGGAAAATTGAGTGGAAAGTACAAATCTTCTCCCTGGAGAAAAGTGTTACATCATTGCGCATCAATTTTAAGGGTTCTGGAGATCCCCCGGAAGCCTTGTCCATACGAACCCCACATTTGATTACATGAAGGGAGGCATCTGGGGGCCTTGCCCGCAACATTCTTCAGGCCTATGACTGGCAAGTCTGGAGAAGGAAGCCCACCTTTTCTATCTTTCACTTGCTGTTTCCTGATGATAAAGTGACCTGAGATGGACAGGGAAGTTCCCCATGGGCAGAGACTTGGAGAGACTTGTGTGTGGGCCTGTGGGGATCAGAGGACTGGTTCGAGCCATGGAGCTTCCAAAGCCAGACAAATCACCTACTCAGTGTCTGGGCACAGGAGCTGCGGAGCCCAGCTCTACTGCTGCCCCCCCCAAATCACTTGTAATCTGTTGTCTGAGGGAGATGGGAGAATGTGACTGCCCAAAAGCAAAAGAATTTCCCCCTCTGCTCTCAGAAGAGGATGGGAGGCCTGGGCGTCCTGGAGCTCCAGGAAAGGCTGCCTGGGAGCCAGTTAGACCATTCTACAGGATGAGCTGGAGCTGCTGCCAGGTCTGCTTAGGGCTTGTGACTCTCACCAGTGTTCCAGAGGCAGGGGCAGAGCTGGGATGGGGTTACAGACTATCTCTGAGAAAGAGACCACACCCCTCCCTCTTTGGCCTATTTCTCCTGGCCAAGGAAGGCATAGGTTTCCAGAGGTAGTTCCTGTGTGATGTTATTGTCTGGGACAGCCAAGGGAACGTCTCCAATTCCCACTTCTTCCTTCCCCCAATGACACTGACCCCCGGGTCTTAAGCCTGTGACCGTCTTTGACCTGCCAGCCCTAACTCCTTCTGAGCATCTAGCATTCTAGAATATCCACACTGAATGGTTAGAGAGCAGACATACAGAGGGAAGACACATCTAGAGACTGTGAAGAATGTTCCAGGTTCATATAAGTGGAGCCTGAGCTGGGATAGATGTCAGATGCATCGGTGTAGGTGTAAACATTTTCTGTGGTTTCCTATCATACTTAGGATGAACTCCACACTGCTGCCCGAGGGCTACAGAGGTGTACAGCTTCAGCACTTGGCCCCAGGCTATGCCCTTAGGCCACCATGTTCCAGCCACGCCAGCTTCTGATTCCTCAGCCTCGACAAGGTCTTGTGCACCTGCTGTCCTATCTTCCAGGAATGCTCTTCCCTCTGAGTCTTTGTACTTCTGGCTTCTTCTCCCTCTTCAGGTCTTAACTCATTGGTCACCTCCTCCAAGTTTCCCAAGGCAGACTCCCCGCACGCAGTGAGGGTGTTGGGGAGCGTTCCCTTCAGAGCACTACCTCAAGTTGCCGTCCACCCACCTTCTTCTTTGTGTATTTGTATGTTCACTGTCCGAAGAGGACCACAGCCATGTCTGTCTGAACCACTGTTGCACCCAGGCACCCGGCACCCACTTCATTTAGTAAGTGCTTGATACTTTTTGTCGCATAAATGAGCAGGGAAAGTGTGAGGAACAGAAGCCATCTCTAGGAGAATGGGAGAGGCGAGATTTCAGCTTCAGCATGGATTTCTGGAGTCACTACTGGGTGGTAGGACCCACAGCAGTCCAGGCCAACGGTGGGAACCTGGCTGCCCCTTCTCCTCACTTGGTGGCCCCTGACTGCCCTGGGGAGCTGAGTTAGCTGAGCCTTTTCTTAGTAGGGGTGCTGGAAACGGGGACCTCAAGGGAGAGGCTGCAACCCATAAAGAAAATATTGGGTTGGAGTGATTAGTGTCATTTGACTAAGCCAGGGTAAGAGATGACTGCAGGGTCCCTGTTCTGTCTTCTCTCTTTGCATTCCTCAGTGCATCAGTGCTTCATTTGAGAGGACTGTCACCATCCTTCTACCCCAGGCGCAGCTTGTGCCGTGTGACTAAGCGGTGCATCCCAGGTTAGCAGCCCGATGGGAGGGCTGAGGTCACGGGACTGGAGAGATGCCCGCTTAGATGATGAAACTCTTGCAACAGCCTGGTCCGACTTCTTCAGCTTTCAGATGGGGAAACTGAGATGTGTGGAGAAGATGACTCCTGCACACACATTCCACACCCTCTCCCTGAGTGCACTGCCACAGCCACTGACCCATGCTCTCAACTTCAGCCTCTCAGTGATGCCCTAGCTGCCTTCTACACCACTGGCAGACTTACCTTGTCAAGGCACCTCCCCTGCTCAAGAGCATTGTCTGGCTCCCCACTGCCATTTCCCTGCTGAAAACACCCAGCCCCATTTCTCTAGCATTCAGAGCACTCATGAGAACTGGCCTCAAGATTCTCTGCCACTAATTTGCCTAGAAACAGAGATGCTTACAGTTAAGAGCCAAGGCTGGAGGGTCCCAGATTTGAGACTAAATTTCTGTTAGAAGCTGTACAGCCTCAGGCACGCAAATTTCCGTGAGTCTGGTTTTCTTCCATTGCAACATCAGGACTGCACCTTGAAGGCATGGTGCCCGTACAGACAACCCTGCACGTGGCACATGCCCGTGCTCAGTGCACCAGGCATACGCAGGAGTACACCTCACACTTCCTGCCTCCCCAGTCTGGCCCCTCAGTCCTCCCTGCCCTCCCTTCCCTCTCCTACATCTTCATCAGTTCAAATGCTGCTCCTTCTCTAAGGCCACCTCCTCCAGGAAGCACTCCTTGATTCTCCCACCACTCCAGGTGCTGAATTGGCCTCTTGTTTTAACAACCTGTCACCCTGTCTTGTTTATCCCTGCCAGCTGCCATCTGTTACTCCTTCCCAGGCAGGTCCTTATCAGTGCCAGCTCTACCCTGACTTGTACATAGTAGGAGCTCATGTTAAAGCTAATAACTGATGTTGGCTGTGGCTTTACCACATGTAGGCTCTGGGCCAAGAGCTGTGCATGGCTGGCCTCATTTAAGTCTCATAACAGCCTTCAAAGGTGTGAGTGTTCTATTATTGGACTCCTTTCACAGATGACGCTGATGTGGCTCAGAGAGGTAAGGTGGCCTCCCCGAGTCACACGGCTAGGCCATGGCAACACAAGGCCTGGAGAGTCCACAGCCTGGGAGCAGAGCCCAAGGCCCCTCCCCACCCTGCATCCCAGGCCAGATGGGGAAGGGAGGCAGCCAGGCAGGAGCTGTGAGAGGCTGGGGAGGGTGGGCCCGGCAGGGGTCAGGCTGCTTGAAGCCGATTCTCAAGCAGAAGCTCCCTTTGACACCTCAGCTCTCACATGTAGCTAGGAAGGGGAATGACCCAGTTAGAAGGTGGCAGAAGGCTTTTTTGGGTTGAATGTCCCCTCCCCCTCCTCACTGGCGGACACTGCTGCCCAGAGCTTCAGGAATCACTGTGAAGGTCCAAACAGCTTCATTAGTAGCGGGGTCTGGCTCCTCAGTAGGACGTGCTCTCTCAGGGCTGTCTTCTCAGGTTTCTGTCTGAGAGCCCTGGGATTTGGAAACAACTTTCATCTGGAGTCAGGGCTGACACCGTGTTAGCAGGCTGAGCCGCCACCCACACAGCAGGGAGAAGGAGCAGCTAGGGGTTG